GTCTTACTGATTGAAAAGAGGCATAAACTAGTAAGACAGCTATGTGAGAAACACTGAAAAAAAACCAATCTTATAGAGAAAAGACAGTAATTGAGTAAAGATGGTTGAAATGTCTTGTTTCTCAGAGTCCAATTTACAAATAACTAGCAGGAGGACTCTAAGACTGAGAGTTGAGAAGCAATGACACCTAGAGCTATTTTGTGACTATGGGATAACTATGTTGCCTCTTTGTGGCTTGGCTGACAGAAATGTGGGTTTTAGTTTTTCACTATGAGATAAAGATGAGTCATTTCCCCAAGAGACCCTACTCTGAAATAGTAGATTGGTCAATACCAGATCTCCAAGAGGACAATAACAAATGACTAAGTTGGTCTGAGAAGAATCCTCAGATCTCAGTCCGAGAAGCAACCTTAGACCTGGATTATACCAAGACCTTTGCTGCTTGGAAATTGCCTGTTGGAGAAAAGGCTTTGCAGTTTGGAGAAGTTGATTAGGGGGGAAAAAGTGTTACTTCATGGGGAAAAAAAGGCTGAGGAGAGGAGGAAATACTCTGCCTTTCCCCTTCCCCACAGTACCATCTACTACTTTGCTGGTAGAAATCCATCAGAGCCCAATCAAGAGAGTGAACCTGAAAATACTCTAGAGATCTCTGGCTTAGGGGAACTAATATAATGAAATAATATAATATTGTGTCAGAGTCCATCCATTGGAGCAAACTTGGAAAACTCTGCAGTTTCCAGGGTTAAGATTTCTGTTGTGGCTGGAAGAGATTAACATTGCCTTGGCAGACTAGAAAAGAAGTAGCTTGAGTGTAGCACCCAGCAGAGAAACAATCCTGCCAAATAATAGGCAAAAAAATTGAGAAGATGACTGGCCATCAGTGAATTGTGGTGCAGACCATCTCTGAGAAAGACCAAGGACATGAAGGCATGGGGTCTAGAGTTGTTACTTGCCCCAGACATCTATGTCCTCTACTAATGTGCCTTGTTAGTATGGTTTTATAAATTTGTGCCCACTCTCCTTCCTGGATGCTATATGCATTGATAAGAGAGTATGACCTAGCTTTATGGAGTGTTATATTTGGAACTCTTTTTGCTTTGCCTTCTCTTTAGCAAATATCTCTAATAAAGGTTAATGATGTCATCTTGGACTTTGTCATATGGGAATAAATTTGTTGGAGGAACTTGGGACCTGCTGCTGTGGGGAGTAGGAGAGTATTCCACCTACCAGGGTTACCCCTACTAGGGTAGGAGCATGGCCATCCCCTATAGGGATCTCTGACCCACTAGAGTTAATACAGTTTGGGTGAATGAGCCAGCTCAGGGGGAAAAAAAAGAGTGAGTTCAAGTGCCATACTCCACATCATGTATAAAACCAATTCAAAGTAACCTTGGCAGAGGAGGTACTAACTAGCAGCAGGCGGAGGGAGAGCGGTATCAAGAAAGTCCCTAGAATAGAAAGTAGTGCTTGAGCTGAGTCTCAAAGAAAGCCCGGGATTCCAAGAGGCAGAAGTGGATGTATTCCAGGCATGGGGGACAGCAAATGCAAAAACATGGAGTCAAAAAGTAGAATTCCATAATGCCAGTTTGACTGAAACATGAGTTCATAGAAGGGAGTAATATGCAATAAGTCTGAAAAGGTAGACTGAATCAAAGTTGTGTAGAGCTTTTAGTGCCAGAGGAATAATGGGTCCCATTGAGTAAGGATGGTGACATGGTCAAACCCGTATTTTAGGAAAATCCTTTCGGTGGCTATTTGGAGGATGGTTGACAGGATGTTTCTCAGACACTTGACACTGAGTGTTCTATTGACTAAACTGTTTGTTCAATTGATCCTCCACATAATACTGATTCAAGGCCCTTCCTCATCCTGGTTGTTCTCTTTAGGACATCCTTTTTTTCCGTATCATTCTTAAATTCTGGTGTCCAGAACATCACATAATACTTTACATATGGTTTGACCAGGGCAGAGTACAGTGACATTATCTATCACTTCCTTATTGTTGGAAGCTGTGCCTCTCTAATGCTGACTAAGGTTGCATTAACATTTTTGACTCCCACATCACCCTGTTGATTCATTCTGAACTTTCAATCCAGGAAATTTCCAAATCTTTTTCAGACAAACCACAATCTAACCATGCTCATATTGGCAAAGCTGATTTGTTGCATCTGAGTGTAAGACTCTACTTCATCCCTACTGAATTTCAGCTTATTAGATTCATTCCAATGCCCCAGTCCATCAAGGTCTTTTTGGATCCTGCCTTCATCATGCAGTGTGTTAGCTATCCCTCCAAACTGTGCCATTTGCAAATTTGATGAGTATGCCATCCATGCCTTTACCCAAAACAATGATAAAAATTTCATATGGCACAAGGCCAAGCATAGATCCCTGGGTAATCTATTGGAGAGGCCTTGGGAACCAGTGGATTCCTCCCTGTTAGATGTCTTCAAGCACAGACTGGATTACCACTTGTCAAGAATGGCACAATGAGGATTTTTTTCAGATATAGGTTGGACTAGATGTTCATTGACATCTCTCCCCCAAATTCTGTAGTTCTGTGAAAATTATGATGAAGGAAGGAAATTTTGGTATTCTTTTGTTTCCCCTCATCAATCTTCTGCTCCCTGATATTGACATTTTCTCCAGAATCCAGATATCAAAATGTGTCTGTCCTATGCACTCTCCCCTTAAGGCCCTACTCCATGCTATGGTATAATGTCAACATGGGTGCTAATGTCAATGTGTCACTCTTACCAGTTCATAGTTATATTTTAGCAAGATTCCTTTCCAGAGACATAATCCCCTCACCTAAAGAATTATTTCTAATGGTGGACATTTCAGACACTGAGGGAGATGGGTAGGGGTTGGTCTTCTCAGCCATGTAAACCTTTTAGATGGTCTTCATTCACTTTAAGTAGGCAGCCACATACTCCAACAACACATAGAACTTTTTATTTTTTATTTTCTTTTTTTATTAATTAATTTATTTTTAGTTTTCAACAATCACTTCCATAAGCTTTTAAGTTTTAAATTTCCCCCCTGCTCTTCCTGCCTCCCTCCCCAAGACAGCATGCAATCTGCTATCGGCTCTACATACACATTCCTATTAAACATATTTTCACATTAGTCATGCTGTAAAGAAGAATTAGAACCAATAGGAGGAACCACAAGAAAGAGGAAACAAAACAAAACAGAAGGAAAAAAAAAAGAGCAAATAGTGTGCTTCGATCTGCATTCAAACTCCACAGCTCTTTCTCTGGATGTGGACAGCATTTTCCATCATGAGACTTTTGGAGATGTCTTAGATCCTTGCATTACTGAGAAGAGCTAAGCCTGTCAAAGTTGGTCATTGCACAATATTGCCATTACTCTGTATAATGTTCTCCTGGTTCTTCTCACTTCACTCAGCATCAGTCCATTCAAGTCTTTCCAGGTTTTTCTGAAGTCTGCTTGCTCATCTCTCTTATAGCACAATAGTATTCCATTACATTCATATACCACAACTTGTTCAGCCATTCCCCAATTGAGGGGCATCCCCTCAATTTCCAACTTTTTGCCACCACAGAAAGAGCTGCTATAAATATTTTTGTACATATGGGTCCTTTTCCCATTTGTATGATCTCTTTGGAATATAGCCCTAGAAGTGCAATTACTGGGTCAAAGAGTATGCACATTTTTATAGCACACACATGCACATGTATACATATTTCTTGTTTCCACAAAATGTTGTGTGTTTATGTTTGTGTATGTGTGTGTTTATTTATCCTTCTTGATGTCTGTCTATATTACACTACACATCAGAAACCTGGTGCTGATGTTTATTTTCATTTAGGCAGAACAATGTCAAGGATAAAATTAAAGATACATATGGGAGCTAAAGAGATATGTGAAATGGACTCAACTTGGAAATATGTTTTTATTAGGGATACAAAATTTATCTTGATTACATAACCTATGCTGCCTTATGATGATTCCATCTATAAGAATTTATGACACCTTGGTGGCTAGTCTTTCCAGAGTATGTCTCCTCTTTTAGATGCCCTAGCTTCTAAAATCAAATATTCGAGAAAAACCCTCCTCTTCCTAATGGGTTTTGTGCATACCTTCAGCGGTGCTTTTTATATGAGAAGTACTATGAAACTCTCACTAAATCAAGTTTTATGTAGAAATTTAGGGGTGGGAGAGAAGAGACAGGTTGCGTGTGTGGGTGATGTGTAGGTGATGGTGAATTATAGGGACACAGAAGAGAAAGGGATTTGCAAGTAAAAGGCAAAGAGGGGAGGGTATGGTGCTAGCTGAGAACATTGGAGTATTTCTCTAAAGCCACGGATTCTTCACTTTGTGTCATAGACCCCTTTGGCAGTCACCAGACTAACTTTTCTCAGAGTAGAGTTTTCAACTATACAAAATTAAATCTATAGGATTACAAAGGAAACAAAATTACATTGAAATACATTTACCGATGATATTAAAAAAGAGCAACAAGTTCATGGCCTCCAGGCTCCCTGTGTCTCCATGTATGTCTCAACATGGCGGGGGTTAAGGGCTTGGCAGTGCCCCAGTGATCTGGAAAATCTGCATGAAATTTTTTGGCTCTCCCTACCAGAGAAGAAGTCTGAATTGTTATGGTATTAAAAGATAAAACATGTTGATATTATACAATACTATACATATAATTTTATGTATTTCTGAGTTTCTAAACTTTTTTTGTGTTGTCTGCTGGCTTTCGCGTGTCATCTGTGCCTTCCGTAAAACCTCCCAAAACTTCCCATTTAATTTCTTATGCTGACCCACAATTTATCAAAGCTACAATGGGGAAAGTCGCGATGTGGAAGGGATAACTGCATTCCCTTCCTTTTACTCATTTTCAGTGTCTATGGATGTGACAACCTGTCTGCTATTTTACCAAATTCTAGATCAGCAATTTTTAATAGTGCTGTGGAGGCTTGCTCACGGCCTTGTTCCTTTTTACCTTTCTTCTAATGTCTTTGATGTTACAGAGAATGACCAACTACATATCAACCAAGTTAAGAACCTTTCTTGGTGAGCCTATGGGAGAGAAATGCGTTGCCTTTGTGGATGGAGTTGATAAAGACCTCGCAATCATATTAATGGGCTATGGTTTTGATAAGGTAATTAATTGTCTCTCTTTCTCTAATTCCTTTTCACTCATTCAGTTTTTTTTCTTTCCCCTTCTCTCCATCCCTACTCTCCTAATGGAAGCCTTTGCTGTTTTTATACGTTAGAAACTATTTAGCAGGGAAACCTTCCAGTCTGTTTCACTGATTTGCTATGGTATCTCTAAGGGTCCATTTAAATAAAGGTTTGACTAGGGGCATTTCAGCCTGGGTTTGTATTAGTCAATCAGCAAGCAATTTATTAAGTGCTTACTATGTACCAGGCACTATGCAAAATGCTAGAGTTATAAAGAAAAGTAAAAAACATGCACTGTGCTCTGGAGAAGCTCACATTCTAATGGAGGAGTCAATATGTACTTAAGCAGATGCATTTAGTATTCAAATACCTTAAGACAGACAACACTTAAACAACACTAACTGCTCCATATCTAACCTAAAGGCTGTTTACTCATTTGTTAGACTCTTCCATCCTTACAGAAAGGACTTAACTAAAGACAGTAGTATCCCAATAGTACTATCAGGAGTTTGCCAAGACTCTGGGCAAGTAGCCATCACCAACTGGATAATGCCATTTCCTCAGGATAGTTCTTGTTATTTCAAGGTAAGATATTATGAAAATAACAAACCAAAGTTGATTTCCATTTTCTTTATAAAATATCCTCCATTCAAGTCCTGCCTCAATGCTTTACTGTGGTATAGAGATGACCCAGCATTCTCAGAGGCTATACCAGTAGAATACAAACTCTGGAAGATGCTATAGAGCTGGAAAGGCTTTGAGGATGGGAAAACAATGGACTGGGTGTTTGTCATCTGGGATCAGCCAGACAAATTAGTTGGTGCTTATTACTAGAAGGCTGGCCACCAGACAATCAATTTGCTTGCCCACAGTGCAAGGGATTGCAATCTGTATCAGTAGAGGGAGTAACTGTGAATCACAGTAGCATTTTAGTAGTATCTTTTGGGGGAGAGGTGAGGGAAAGACACTTGAGTTAAGAGTAGGGGAAAATTGGTGGATTGGGAAATGAATCAAAAATCAAGTGTCTTGCTTCCAAGAAGTTTAGAATTCTCTGCTTCTAAGCATGGCCTGCTTTTTTTCAAGTCATACCTAAATTTCAGAAAACAAAATTAGTATTAATTCATCTGATTTATAAAAGCAAATAATAGGCCATAGAGTTCTTGGGACAAATAAGTACTGCAATACAAAATTACCATGAGCCAAGTTGGAAGTCACTGAAAATGAATTTAACCTCTGTAATTTAGTATATCAGTGGCCCTTGAATGTGCCTGATTTGAAGTTGACAATGATTTTTTTTCTAACCTTAAGCAAAATTATGAAGCAGGTAAAGTTTTGCTTTTGCATGAATCCATGTTCTTTTTTCTCCCTCTTTTTCCATCCTTTCAGTGTTATGAATAGCTATGTTACAGAGGTCTGACAGAAAATCATTCTTTTTTCTCTCTCTTTTTATTTTTTATTTTGTTTTTTGGTGAAGCAGTTGGGGTTAAGTGACTTGCCCAGGGTCACACAGTTATCAAGTGTCTGAGGTTGGATTTGAACTCAGGTCCTCCTGACTCTAAGGCAGGAGCTCTATCCACTGCGCTGCCTAGCTGTCCCCACAAGATCATTCTTAAAGTGAAAGAATAAGGAAAGTAGAATTTCAGGTACCAGAAGGGAAGATATTATTTAGCAGGGCCTTCACAGACCTTTAAATAACACCACATAGGCACACATTTATTTCACCTGTGGACATACTACAAGTGTAAGCTTTTCACCCCTGGCCCCCACCCCCATCTACATAAGCCTTGTACCATTGCTGAAGCCGTAGAAAGAAATGGCTTTACCGATGGCATGAGACCACTGGCCCCAGGGACGCAGTCCTCTTCATATTCCTACTTTAAATCTGAAAGCACCAGACATGTCAACAAAAGCATAGATTTTAACTTTGAAATAAAGATTTTTGTCCCACTATATGTCTACTTTCTTTATGGACACACACACACACACACACACACACACACACACACCCCATACATACATACGTTATGTGTGTGTTTGTGTGTGTGTGTGTATATATATATATCCAGCAATATGTCAATTGAAGCAACTTAGTCCTTCAAGATAGTCTTAAAATCTGATCCTTCTGTTAAAGAGAATTCAGGAGATGGGCAGAAGAGAGAGGATTTTCTCTCCTTTGCTCCTTAGATAATCTTGGGGAAAGCTGACATGTTGTTAGCATTATCTCAGTGTGAATATTTGGGCTCAGGACCACTGTTAACAACATCTGTAAAAAGCAGCCAGCCAGTTGGATTTAGAAAGGTGGTGCAATGATAACTGTCTGCAAATATTTGAAGGTCTGTCACATACAAGAAGGTTCTGTTTGTTCCCTAAAGGACAGAATTAGGAGCAATGGGTAGAAGCTGCAGATTAAGCCTGGGCAAAATTAGGCTTTAGGTAAGGAAAATTTCTTGATTATTAGAAGTGTCCAAAAGTGAATGGGCTGCCCTCCTGAGGTAGTATGTTCTCCTTCATTGGAGGTCTTCAAGCAGGAATGGGATGACCTCGTGTGGGTATGTAGAGGAGACTCTTGCTCAGGTATGGGTCAGACTAGGTAACCTCTGACGCCCCTTCTAACAACACTGAGATTCTGAAGTTCTCCCATTAGTTCAGATTTGTTGTTCTTTTTCAGTCGTGTCCAACTCTCCCCATTTTGGAGTTTTCTTGGCAAAGATACTGGAGTAGTTTGCCATTTCCTTCTCCAGCTCATTTTATAAATGAGGAACTGAGGCAAACGGGATTAAGTGACTTGCCCAGAGTCACACAGTTAGTAAGTGTCTAAGGCCAGATTTGAGCTCATGAAGTTGAGCCTTCCTGATCATCCCAAGCCAGTGCTCTATCGGCTGCACCATCTAGCAGTTGAGTTTTGGGGATGGGTTATATTCACTTTCAAGCTACTTGAGTAAACACCACAATTATTTTCATTATAGAGTGTAGGTTCAACCATATGGACCTTCTTCCTTCTCCTTAACTCTTTAGAATCACTCTCTCAGCACATACTTCTTGAGCACTTACTATGTAGGGCACTGAGCTACAAAACTGCTGAAGATATATGTTAAGATGGTCCCTTCCCTAAAGAAATTTTCAGCCTAGTTGGGGAGAAAGGAAACACATGGATTATGATGACAAAAGTTATAAGGTAAATTCCCCAAGTCGAACATGGAAACATAATCAATGATCCCAGCACTAAGTGATGCAGACAATAAGTGCCACAGGAGGTCAAAAAAGGGAGAGAGAGCACCATAGGCTAGAATGATTTTGGAAAACTTTACAGAACTTGGGTAAGAGTGGCCTAACTGGAGAGAAGAAGGTAAGGTGAGAACAAAGACTCAGAACCGCAACGTATGTAGGGAGAAAGGAACAGACAAACGAGTCTGGAGGGGAGGGGAGGGGAGGGCTCATGGAGGGACAGAAATGGGAGACAAGGCGGAAAAAGTAAGTTGAGTCCAGGTAGCGGAAGGCCTTGAGTGCCAGGCTAAGGAGTTTTATTCTATAGGTAGTAAGGAGCAATCGGAGACATCTGATTTGGGGCAGTGACTCAGGGAAAGTGGGGGAGTGTAAACTCCTAGAGGGAAAGGTCTTTCATACAGGGCCTAAAATACATTGTTGATATAATCAAATTAACCAGTAAGAAGATAGAGTACTGAGCCTTAGTTTCTTCAGCTCCAGAATGAAGGGGGTAAGCCAGGCACTTGTAAGCATTAGTTATTTTTTTCATGTGATTTTCATGCTTTATCAATGTAAATCTGTCTTCTTATTTTACAGTCATCCTTATACCTATTAGTTTTCCCTAACTAGACTGTAAGCTTGTTGCAGGCAGAAACTATGTCCAAATGCTTCTTCTGAATCCCACTATAGTGTATAGTACAGAGTCCTTCTAGCTCTAACAATCTTCAATTCATGCCTTCTGATCCATGGGGAATTTGTCCAGAACAGTCTCTGAGATGACCAATCCTTCTTAAAGTCCTCTGGGAGTTGGAGAGGAGGTCTAGCCTGGAAAATCTGCCTGGAATATTGGGCCATTGTGTGGCTTGTTTTGTGGAAGTTGAACTAGTCCCACCAAGGAGCTATGTTGAAAGCAAGCATTTGGTAACTCCATTGAAAGGCATACATGTAAAACCTCAAACTTCCTGTGGCTGGATTTGGCCTTCCCATCCCATAGAGAGAAAGACTTGCTTATTCATCTCCTGGTTACAGGATCAGAAATGGAGAGGGTCTGTGTACAGCCAAGAGCCATAGATAGAAACAGACTTCATCTTCCTTAAATCCCTTTTGAGAATGCAGGTTAACTTTTCATTCAGCCTGCCTGATTGGCTATGCAGACTGAAACAAACAAAAAAAAAATACAGTGTCAGGTTGCAGATTGGCTACAGAGCCTGCAAGACGAATCCCTTCTTCCTGTGACATTCCTGGAAAGTTTTCCTCGTCTCACATACCAAGCATTCCCTGGCTTCCCCAAGAGTCAGTCTGGTTGAGGCTTCAACTTGTAATGTCCAACTGATTGTAGCAGCAGAGCATTGTAGATTCGGAGGACTGGGCTTTTAGTTTCCTTCCCCAACTACAGAATGAAGGCATGAGATGCATTGTCTGCACCACCAGGCATTTGCAGCATTAGTTATTTGGGTAAGAGTCTTTTAATGACCAGATAAGGTTACCAACAGTTGGGGTGAATGGGAGGCAGGGAATTACATGAATATTGACAAAGTGTCTCAATAAAGTACACCACAGAAATATGGTAGACATTGATAAGATAATTTAAAAACCACATAACCATACATAATTTTGCAATTATGCCATGCAACACTATAGGAAATATACCCTCTATCAAAAATGTGACTGAATATAATATGTAGCCTTTGCATAACACAAGCCCTTAAACTTAACTTTTGACAGGTAGGAATGGGATATATAGTTTGTTGCACGATTCTTTTTTTCTAAATGGTGCATGATCTTTAGGGGAGAGGGAGGATACCTAAAAAATGATAATGTATCCTTTGGAGTAACATTAGAAGCCACAATCCCTGGGGTCCTAAGTAAGCAGCAGGCAACCTAAGACAGCAATACTTCATATGTCAAACTTTAATTTCCAGTAGAGACTCTTTATGGAGGGATGGAAGTAGCTTCAAATATCCTCTCTCATTTGACTAAAAGAGCTAAACTTACTCCAGGATGTAGACAATGAGAAAGGAAAAGAAAGATAGAAAAAGAGTATCTCTTATCTTAATAGGGCTTTATGCTTTGCAAAGAGGTTTCATGTACACTCATTTATCTTCACAATATTAGGGAGGTAGAGGAGGCAGAGGGAGAAGGACAGGTTATATTAGTCTCCACTTATAGGTGATGAAGAAACAGAGGCACAGGTAAGTCACGATGACTTTGTCCAAAGTCATATAAGTAGTTAGCATCAGGTGACAGCTTAGTGGCACAGTAGGTAGAGTGTTGGACTTGGGAGTCAAGAAGATCTGAGTTTGAATCCAGCCTCAGTCACTTAGTTGGGCAAGTCATGTAACCTCAGTCTGCCTCAGTTTCCTTCACTGTAAAATGGGGCTAATAATTGCATCTGCCTCATAGGGTTGTTGTGAGGATTGTAGGAGATAACATGTGTAAAGTGTTTTGCAAACCTTAAAGCACTAAGTAAATGTTAGTGATTTTTATTAGTGACAAAAGTAGCTCTAGAACTCAGGTTTCTTCTCAGTTTAGTACTCTTTTCTGCTCTATTATGTTTCCAGTCAAATAGGATAATCCATGGCCTAGAAAGGAACTGAAAAGGTAGGCATCTAATCACCTCTATATTTGTTTTGTTGTTGTTTTTGTTTATAGAAACATCTCACCCCACGCCTGAGAAATACATCTGGAAATCACCCTATATGCAATGGTATCCATGCCCCTGAGAAAGACAGCTTCTAACCAGTTCTTAACATCTCCAGAGAGGCAGAGGCTACAATCCCCCTTGTAAACTATATCAGTGTTTAATTATACTGTACCCTGCTGGCTTTTACTTACATCCATGGTCTCATGTTCTGAGGAAGAAAGAGAATAATAATTTTATGTTTGTTTTTTGCATGAGACCTGTGATTTCATTGGCACAGAAAAAGCCTAATAAGGATACTTTTCTATTAAGAAGATTGACATCTTCTCTGCAAATTATAGTCTTATAATGTAGCCTGGGGCACGGAGTGGTTAAATGATTCACCCAAAGTCACACAGTATTTCTCAGAATTGGGACTTAGCTCTTTCTAATTCTGGGACCTTCCCTCTATCTACTATGCCAAGCTGACTCTCCTTCACATGACACTGTATATAACTCTTTCCTTCTTGCCTTGTCTCATCCTTCTGCTGCCTCCTCTCAGGCATATGTACTGTTGGGTCAGTTCCTCCTCATGCACAAGAAAGAAGATGACTTCCAGATGTGGCTCATGCTGAGATGTGGTGCCACTCAACAAGAAGCCCAGAAGATCTCCGTATGCCTGCGAGAGTGGTGTTCCACCTTCATCTAAAGACTAAGACGCAACATCTCTTTCATGGTCAACTTTGAACCACAGGATTAAACATCTGTCAGTGTGTTGAAAACCCAGTCTCAGTCCTTTTGTTCTGTATTGTTTTGCCTGGGGTAGCCTTAACCCCTCCCTACCCCTTTCTCCACAGACTAGGAAACCAAGACCATTCCTCACCCAAAGACACTTTGGGAGTGAAGAGGAACAACCCTTGATTATTGGTTAGCCAGTCTGTGTGTCCTCCAAGCCTTTCTTTCTCCTCTCCAGCCTGGCTGAGGACTGTATTTCTCTTGTAATGGTCCCAAGCCTCAATAGGGCTGAGGGGAGATGAGCCAAGCAGCCAGCAGCATGCAGCCAGAAAGTCCCATTCTCCAGATAGGCCCATCTTAGGTGTAGGCGACCTAGTATGACTAGAGGGATGGGAGAAAACTCTTCTGCTCCCCAAATATTACCCCCATTGATTACCTGAAATTCTACCATTTTTAGGGGATTCCTTCCTTTGAAGTGTTTTGCTTTCTAGGCAGTGATTACTCCTGAAAGCCATGACCTGTTAAATCCCAGAATTTTGAGTGTAAGTTTATAGCTTGCCCGCAAGACTCGGATGCCTACAAGAGATATTGTAAGCCAGAGAGATACTGGAGGTGTGGGTGGTAGGAAGGGTGAAGAAGGAGGCATTAGGGACAAACGTTACCATTGTCACAATTTGGCCCCAAACCAGCCCTAGACAATTGTAGTCCTGTTCCTCGAGCTTTGTTCCCTTGTTCTCCCTCTGCCCTCTGCCACCACTCACCACCCCCTGTCACCCACCTAGTCTTAGACCATGTCTCTTTTACAATACACATGGGTCGAGTTCACCTTGGTCCACATAGAGAAAAGAGAATAAAGAGCTAAAGGCAATTCCCCTTTACTATACTTAGAAGGCTCATGGAATACCCATACTTTTTTTCTTCCAAATGATACCTTGGGCACACAGAGAGAACTAGATGCATAATTTATTGAAGTCTTAAATGCACATCATACTGTTCTAGGTCCAGAACATTATCATTTTTCTCACACTTCCAAAAATCCTTAGGCACCTGTTATGTGCATAAGGGGAGAAGCAGCATAGAATAGTTGGGGGCTGCCCTGGGAGTTTAGAAAACCTGGGTTCAAGTCCCTTCTCTGATGCATACTGAGTGTGTGACCCTGGACAGTTCTCTTAAGACTATACATTGCAGAGCAGTGTAATAGCAGAATTTAGATAGTACTTGAAGGCTTGCAAAGTGCTTAATCTATATTATCTCATTTGAAAATAGTTTCTGTAAACAGACCATCTTGTAGCTTTCCATTTTAATATTTTTCTTGCTAGCTAGATGCTAAACTTTGCTGTTTCTTTTGCTAGAGGACTACAAGTTCTTTCACCACCTTAGAGGCAAAGCCCTGATTACCCTACCCTAGTTGCATCTATAATAGAGAAAGCTAGAGGATGAGAGGTGAGAATCAAATTCTTTCACTTCAGTTTTTGAACATAAGTCTTACAGAGTGATATCCGCACACACAAATAAGACTTTTAAGAGGTGCTTAGGATAACACAGGCCTTGACAGCTCAGTCTCTAAGTCCAAGTCACTTAGTATTCTCACTGTGGCTATTTTGTCCTTTCCTTGTGAATTTTTTTGGTTTTGTTTTTGTTTTTGTTTTTTTAGGCAGTTGGGGTTAAGTGACTTGTCTAGTAAGTGTCAAGTGTTTGGTCTGACGCCGGATTTGAACTCAGGTCCTCCTGACTTGAAGGCTGCTGCTCTATCCACTGTGCCACCTAGCTGCCACCTAGCTGCCCCCTCTTTCCTTGTGAATTTAACCGAACTTGCAGAAGTATGCTGAGGGTTTTTTTTTCTTGCTTCTAAAGACTAGGATTATATTATTTAGGTAATTTGAAAGTAAGTCCAAGGTCCAGTCACTTAGGATGAGGAGTAAGGAGGAAGATTCATCTGGCACCCTTTTTGTCTTTAGATACCACACAATTGCTCTAACATAGGGGGTGGATAAAGAGATAGGTGGAACAGGAAGAGATACCAGCAGGGCTTCTATCTAACTTGTGATTGACCCAGGAAGTACGCTGGCCAGGCATACTCAGCTCCTTGTTTCATAGGATCCTAGAATCATAGATTTACAGCAAGAAGGGACTTTGGAGGCTGTTGAATCTAACCCCTTCATTTTACATATGAAGAAACTGAGGCACAGAGAGGTAAATGACTTAAATTAATTGCGCCTTTGAGTCTTTCCTAAGGACCCTTTAAAATCTTCTGCAGAATGCTGGTGATTCTAATTGAAGTTGTAACATGAGGGTGGGAGCCAGTGCCCTATGACATATTGCCCCTTTTTCCTCTTCTATTATTTTCTTTCCTTGAAAACTTAACAAAATGCACTACCCCATAAATTAGTCAGCTAAGTGATGACATGCGTAGGGTCCTGAACTTGGACTCAGAAAGATCCCATTCTGAATCCTGCCTCAGCTACGTAGTAGCTGTGTGACTCTGGGTAGGTCACTTAACTTCTTAGCCTCAATTTCCTTATATGTAAAATGGAGACAATAATAGTATCTCCCTCACAAGGCTATTGTGAAGATCAAAGAACATAACAGGTAAAGTGCCTTGCAAATCTTAAAGCCCTATATAAATGTTATCATTTTTATAATTAAATTAAATTACTAATTATTAAATTAAAAATTAAGGCTTGAATCCTAGATCTAAAGCCCATTTGCTGACCTCCTGAAGAAATATATCCATGAGCCTTTTGACTCTATGGTAATTTATGTAGCTTCTATTATACTAGGCAGATTTTAAAGAAATAAATGTTTTATTGATGCTCTTCCCCCTCCCCCCAATTCTGTCATTTCCCCTAACTATCCTTTCACACAGACTGCCTCACTTATAACAGAGTTAGGCCAAAAAATCAGTCCATCGGCCATGTCTGACAATGGGTGCCTTATTCTGTGACTATGCTCTTCCACCTATCTACCAGAAAGGGAAAACAGGCTTTCAAGGCAGTCGTCTGGAGTCATGGCTGGTCACAGCATTGATGAGAGTCACAACATCTTTCCAAATTATTTTCCATTGTCTAAATTGTTCTCCAGGCTCTGCTACTTCTTCAGTCTACATTAGTTCATATAAGTTTTCCCAAATTCCTGGGCATTGCTGAGGCATTTTACAGAAGGACAGGTATTGACCAATATATACAGCCTAACTAGTAGCTCAAATAGGAATGGAAATACTTGTCAAGAAGCTCATCTGACTTATCTATCATGGTAGCTGGATATCTAGAGTTTAGAGGGTGGCCTTTAGAAGACTTACTCCCAACCCACAGTACTAGCAGGCAGGGTACTAGCAGACTGTGACGAAGTTATGGGGTTTCCCCTAATGTTATTGGCTCAAGCCCCATTGCCAGGGTAATTTTTCTCTTAATGTGAATTGGCACTGATAACTGCCCTAGTATAAATTAACCAATTAATATTAATTCATATGGATATTTACTATAAAGATATAGCAAGAACAGAAGTACAAATATATTCCCCCCACCTCCACCAACTAGGCATTGTGACCCATGAAGAAGATCCCGAGTGAAGTGAGAATGCTTTGAAAGAGACTTGTTGTCAAGTCTGAGATCTACCACTTACTAGCTGTTTGAGTTTGGACAAGTTGCTTTATTTCTCCCTGTATCTGTTTCCTCATCTATAAAATGAAAAGGTTGACTTGATCTCCAAGGCTCCTTCCAGCTTTAACAGTCAATGAATTAGGGGTAGGGGGAAAGATGGCTGACAAAACTTGAGCAAGGATCCATCCAACTAATAATAGTAACAGAATGGTCCCTACTTTCTAGGACCTGACATTCTAACAAGGGAGACAACATGTACCATATAGGTAACTCCAAGGTACTTACAAAGTAAATATAAGATAATCTTGAAGGGGAAGACACTAGCAAATGGAGGCAACCAAGGAAAGCCTCCTTCAAAATCAGGTGGCAGTTGAGCTGACACTGGAAATTTCCAAAGGACAGAGTTGAAGAGGATGGGTACTCTAGGCATGGGGGATGGCAAGTTTACAGAAAGGAGAGATGGAACATCATGTCTGAGGAATAGCAAAGAAGCCAGCATGACTAAGGAGAAAGCGCATAATGTGTAAGAAACATGAGAGGAAAGAAGTCATCAGTCTTTGTTCCTTAGAGGTAACATGATGGCCTAAGGCAACAGTGATTGGGAACACTATGCTTCGTGCTCTTAAAGCTCATGCTCAAAAACTGGGCTAGAATCGAGGTGGGAGAATACAATCAGTGGAAGACAATGGAGAATGAGCTTGGTAGAGACCTAGGAAACCTGGCACCCAATAAAGGGAAGAAGGATAAAACTTTCAATGTTTTGGAAATGATGGTGAGAATTATCCAGCCTCTGGTAGCCTAAAGTGATTTGTACTTGGAAATGTTTTCTTTTAAAAAGAGCAGACTTTGGCAGGCAAGCCTAAAAACCTATTCTGTGTTCATTGCTGTAGGCCTTACATGTAAAACAATGCTATTTAAAATCTAACTTTGAGATCTGCTTCTGATCCTCTTCCCAGAAGCTAGAGGCTTAAATTCTCCTACTTTAGGGTGGTCTTCGGTATGGTACAGCAGAAAGTATGTGGGACTAGGAGACCTAAGTTCCAGTCAGTGAATAACATTTATTAAATAACAGTTATGTGCTGGGCACTGTGCTAAGCACTGGGGATACAAAGAAAAGCAAAAGACAGTTCCTGCCCTTGAGGAGCTCATAATCTAATGGAGAAGACAATACACAAACAATGATTTACCAACAAGCTTTGGGTCAGGTAAATGGGAAATAATCGACAGAGGGAAGTCACCAGAACTAAGGGGGTTGGGGAAAGGTTTTCAGTAGAAGATGGAATTTTAAATGGAATATGAGGGAAGCCAAGGAAGATGGAGTGGAGGGGAGGAAGGAGAATATTCCAGGAGTGAGAGATAGCCAGTGAAAATGTCTAGTGGAGGAACAATAAGGAGACCAGTGTCAGTGAACGGAAAGGTATACTGGGGACAGTGAGAACC